TGTACACATTACAAATATCTGTGAAATCTGTACTTTTTTGCCATGGCATTCGCTGTAATAACAATCCTCCATCTAACACATGTTGAACATTCTCAGTAATAGACTCCTGTTTTACACAGTCTCCTAAAGCCCAAATCGCATGAGCTAATGCTGGTTTTTGTGGTTGCCTTGGAAAACCTGATGGATCAAACAGTGCAGATGGAATACTACAAAGTTCATATCCAAATGTGTGTGACATGTCTTCTTCCGATCTAGTTGCAGCCATTGTAAGATGTTGAAAAAGTAGCTGGGGGCCAACCTAAATTGACTCACCATCTAATTTTACTACAGGCTTTGTAGTAAGTATCACTGTTTACTGGGATCTTTTGAAAGAATACTCCATCACATTTTTACAAACCATTTTTTGTAAGACTTTCGATCCGATTTCTTTTGCATTGTAAACATTTACAGATGAATCAGAACGGTTTCAATATTGCATAATGAGGGGTCTTGGATAAACGGATTTCTTTCTAGTAGAAAATATAGGAGTACATTTGTGTCTTTGTAGTACCTTTCCTTCCTGGCTTGGCTACACTCTTTGTGTTGACTACTTGTGTAATGAACAGTTCCACTGAAATCCTGCATAGTGTTATTTACCTCTTCACACGAAGGCAATGAGAGTAACCACTGAGCTTGTTGTGTTTCTGTCATACCCTTTCCTCTAGTCATGCCTCCATTTGTTTTCACGCTTCTCATTAAGACTGGCTCGATAATAAGATCCATTGACAAACCAGCCCAATACCTATCAGTTCTACATATAACATGATGTCCATGATTTGAAATATTGATATACCTCATTGTTGGTTATCTCAAGCTTTCCCATCAGTTGCAAATACACATACGCTGATTTCAGTTATAAAGTATGTCCATCAGATGCAAAATAAGGAAGCATCTGTGCTAGTGTTTTCTGATGAAGATTCCAATTACTTGTCTGCTCTGCTTTTATAAATGTTTGATAGATATGTATCATCTTCATATACTGAATCAAAAGAGCTGCTGTTTTATATTGTTACAGACTCTGTTTGTATTCAGAGACTCGCTTCTGGATTTTGTCAAGTAGACCAATTTTAGAAATAGACTGAACTTCAATCTTTCCCAAGATAAGGCCATCGTAAATTTTACCAATTTCAGTAATATCGTTTTCATTCTCAGACACTGCATTTTCAAAGGTGTTGTCATTGTCTTGCCCAGCCAGAACACTGTCATCAATAGATAAGTCTCTGTGCTCATTTTCTGCATCATCTCTAGAAGGATCTACATGGAGCAATACACCAAATAAATCTGACACAATCACTGAATTAAGAACATTATCAACTAGAAAATGTCCTCGTATAGCTCTTGCGATTGCTTTCTCACTCATCATGTAAACCACAGCATTTGAAGTGTACACAGTTTCCAATAGTTCGCTAAGACCAGATCCCTGCATCAGATGACCGATGCATCAAAGATAACTCATCATGGTGTGGAAACCATCTAATCTCAATACAACTTTGTGCAGGTTGCTATTTTCTAGTTCATTTAATATCACAATTAAAGCTTTCCAATACAAAGGTTGATCAAAGGTAATAACTGAATTCATCCCATACTTTGCTGCATGGTCACCGACAACCTTAAGAGCTGTGTATATACATGACATGTCACTAGGATCCGTGTCAATCATGGGCATAAACACTATGGACGATTTTCCTGCAGGAGAAGGGTATATTGTCTCAGTACACGCCATTGATTTGAAATCGGATTTGATTAGTCTAGCTGCTGCTTTTATAATCGTGATCTTTTCAGTTTCACTATTCTCAATCTTTTAGCGCTGGTAGAATTCATGTAGAATCGAAGTTGCTGTGCTCCTTAAAGTAACAACATTGCTTTTTCCGTGTATTTGAGTGATAACAATCGATGACCCGAAATGTTCCTGTAATTTCGGTTTCATATAGATTAGGCTAAATGCAGCATCGCCACAAAGCTGTCATTTTTCAACAATATCTTTAATCGTAATTTGTTCATTGTAATTTTCTTCAAGGTAACTGACAACAGAGAAAAACCTTGTTAAGTTAGCATGAACAGGCCTTCCGTGCGACCATTTACTATGTGTCTGTTGTTCTGGTGAAAATACCTCCAGAATACACTTCTTAGTCATAAAATTGACACTACAATACTGATGATATATAGCATCTGCTACGGGCAAATCATTTACACTTTCCAGTCATCCTCGGACCTCATCAGCCCGGTATCAGCACGTTCAATGCATACTTTGGTAATACTATTTTGGAAGTCTATAGTTGTGATAGGAAACTCATCTAATCTTTGCTTTTTCCACATAATTTTGCAGCTTGGCCACAAAACAAACACTGTTCTTTAAAGCAAAACTGCTCATTACCAGATCTTAGTAAATGCAATTTACATGTAGGAATATTTGAAGATGTTTTACTATCACGTTTAATGACATTTGGATTACAGTAATTCTGACGACATTCTGTGTGAACATATTGCACTGGAACGTTTAGTGGTTGCAATGTTTATACCGGCAGACCCTAACTGCACAATAGCTTTTTCATTCTGTAAACTTCCCTTACAAATAACACAAACGTGAGAGGAGTTCAGTATTTCCATCTGTAAATACTGTTACGATGCTGTCACGTGATGCTGGTACCACGTAATGAGTATCTCGAAGGTTCCTGAAGGCTCGAGTGTTTGCCAGATGCCCTCTATTTTGTATATATAAGACTGGCAAGAAGTGACGGCATAGATAATTGCAGACAGGCAGAGATAGAGATGGACAATTGAGTCAAGTGCAGTAGTGACCGTAAATAATGTGCGTGAATCGTTGTGAATTATAGCGTGTGTTTAAGTTAAAGTGACTGTGGAAATTAAGTGTACTGCAAAGTTATATTGAGAAAGAATAAACTAGTTTTATTTAAGAAAGGACTTGTATCGCTAAAGTTTCATCCGAAAGAAATTATACGGGAAATTAACAAATGACCAGAGACGTAACAATACATGAAAAGTATTGTTGCGTCAGCAGTCACATGACCGCCGTGACGCAACGTTTCTAGAACTATCATGTACTTTGTCGAA